GGAAAGCCATGGTTCCCAGCAGAATTCCCGGCCCTCCGTCTTCCAGACGCCGGAGGACCAAAACGTCCCGAAGGGCTATTGCATTAAAATAAATAAATAGATAACAAAACCCATTGCCACCTAGAATTGAGTCCATTCTAGCCCATAACCTCTTTACATAGGGTTCCCAAGGCTTTGTAAGTCTTTGTGGGCGCAGCCAGTCGTCTCTCTTTCGCAGAGCGGCTGGGGAGTGTGAGCTGCGTTGGACTTTGCATTTAGTTTCCAGTATCCAGTGCTTACTGATAGTGCCACGAGGGTGCCAAAGAATGGCTTTTAAAATGACACCCTGAACAGGGCTCCCAGATGGTCAACGTTGAGTCTGAACCAACGCGATGCCAGTGAGGGTTTTTGTTTGGTTTTGATGGACCCTCCTGTATATAGTGCATCTCTTAGCTGTTTCCGTATTAGAGGGAAAGGGAAAATAAGCAGTAAATCCATTGAATGGGAGCAGGCCAGGCACCGTCCAAACCCAGCTTCTCCGCCGCCTGGCAACGCAGCCCACATTGTAGAATGTCTGAGTCGAAGATTGATCCCTGAAACAGTTCGTCGGTGGTGGATGGCTAAGACAGATCCTCCGAGGTACAACTAAGCATGCCTATTATTTTTATGACGTGAGTGTGGGAGAGAAAATGGTGGGGAATGCTGAGAGAGTCGTGAACCTGACCCCTAAAGAGAGATGAAGCCAGGGGGTGGATGATGTGTAGTCTGAGGAAGGTTCCACAAGAAGCGTCTAGCCATCAGAGAGGCTCCTGGGAAAGGTGCTGCCGTGGTTAGTAACCCTGCAGAACGCAGGCATTCACTGGGACCAGCCCAGGGGCTGGGCCCGGGGCCCATTGTTGTTGATGTTAAGTGCCATCGAGTCAGCTCCACCCCATAGGGACCCTCTGCACAACAGAATGGAAGGCTGCCTGCCGCTGCCCCAGCCTCGCTCTTGTCCCTTCGCTTGAGCCCATCGTTGCAGCCATTGGGCCCACCATCCATCATGTTGAAGGTTTTCCTCTTTCTCATGGTCCCTCCACTTTACCAAGCCCGATGTCCTTCTCCTGAGACTGAACTCTCTCCTAACAACGTGCCCAAAGTATATAAGATGAAATGTTGCCATCCTTGCTCCTAAGGAGCACTCTGGCCATACTTCTTCCGAGAACAATTTGCTGTTGGACACTGTGGAGGCCATTCGGACTCACAGCAACCTGTGTGCAATGACAGAGCATTGCCCGGTCGTCTCTCCCATGGCCCGTGTAGGCCCACAGGCCCATGATCCCTCCAGGATGGAGGTCCTTGAGGCATGGACTCATGGTGGTTTTGGAGAGGTGGGCTGCGGTTGTCCCACCAGAGCAAGAATGTTAGGAGCACTTGGCCTTCTCCCAGGCCTGGAATCAGGAGACCAAGGTTTGAATTCATATCTATCGTCTCAAAACCTCTTGGCATTAGGTGGCACTGGTATCCCAGGCCCTGTCTCTTAGCTCATCCACACCCCTCTCCTTCACTCTTTCTGTCCAGCGCCTGCAGCGGCCTCCCAACTGCGCTCCAGAGCCTGCCTGTGACTCTCCACAGAGCAGTTCTACCCTGTCACGTAGTCCCAGTCTTTGGGAGTTAGACTCGGCTTGATGGCTGCAGGGGAGTGAGGGGTGAGATAACCCAGGAGATCAGGTTCTGTACAGTGGGAATCCTGAGCACAACTGGATTTTGTGCATTGACTCTTTGAGGCTGGTCCTGCAATCATTTTTAAAGGCCAAAGGGGAACTATAGACTTTCGATGGTGCCAACCTTACCAAAGGCGTGCAGGAGAGACAGAGGCAGGCCTGCGTTTCAAGGACACAAACAATGCTGGTGGCAGTGAGGGACAAGATGTCACCTCTTCAGCCTCTGCATCAAAGGCTGTGGTCGATAGAGACTGAAGGAACCAAAAAGTGTGTTAAACTTCTGTTTAAGGGGAAAGGAGACCCCCAAGTTCAAATACAATGTGTAGCGGCCCATTTATTAAATCTTAAGCAGGAGAAAGACAAATCACCCTGATGAGAAAGACCATCGGCTGAGCCCAGAAGGGTGTCCAAGGACACAGAGACTCAGCTGCTGCTTAAATAGGACATGGAAAATAACAGAGACTATCACAGAATTCAGAATCACTGTGGGGTTTTGAACATGGCTGCAGATTCGAAAGCTTAGAAGGTAGCCCAGGGACCCCTTGCTCCAGGGATGCCTACTGACCATGTGGTTCAAGTACACCGAGTCCCACCACAGACATGACCAGGCTAGTGCCTGAGGGCCAGACTCCTGCTCCCTGGTGGAGACTCAGAACTGATTGGGGGGCTCCCACCCCAGCTTCCTAGAAACCCTGTGCTGAGCATTGACGTTCTGATTCAAGTCCAGAGTCTGTTGCCAGTTACCACTGCCATGGACCGTGCTGAACGTGTCTGCAGTGTAAGCCTGGGTGTCTGGAGGAAGCATCCTTGAAGCATTCCGAGGGTGGGACTGTTTGTACGAAGGTGCTGGGCGGTGCACAATGACTCACGTTCACCTGTTCTTTCTAGATGTGAGGGCCTGCGTGGGAATGTGTGCTGGCGTGCCCGCCCTCGGGCGGGAGGAATTGGGAAGAGATAGCTAGGACAGTCGCCCGGCTTGAAGAACCTCACCCAGGCCACTGAATTGTCCATGCAGAAACTGCTGGGTTGGCTTGCTGTGATGCATGTATTCACCAGAGATGCTCTGTTCTGTTTTGTTTAAGCACCCGTGCCTTTTGATTCAGCTCCCGGTGTCAGGATGGGTCGACTGGATGGCAAGGTCATCGTCCTGACGGCTGCTGCTCAGGGCATCGGCCGGGCAGCCGCCTTGGTGAGGGATCTTGTTGTTTTGCTTGCTACCTTTTGAGGTATTGAATTATGTGGAACGACTCCACTGTCATTTAATCCCTCTCCGCTCTCTCTATTGACATTGTGTTGCTGTTGTTTTAAATGGTCACCAATAAATAATAAATCAATGCCGCGGACCCCTCAGGCTGATGAAGGGATGACTACCTCACATGTCCCATGTTTCCTCTGTGATGTCATTGAAGGCCTTTGGTTCTGAGAAAACGTACTTCTCTGCCTCGGTTTCCCTGCACCATCATAAACCCACTGGGAGGATCCCACAGGACTGCTGTTGCGGTGGACCCTGGAGTCCGTTCCGCTCCCAGGGACCAGGAGAGAACACCTCCTCGGGCCTTCTCATCTCCGTGGCAGAGGCAGGCAGCCAGATCCCTTCGTCCCCAGCGCCACTGGCATGTGTGTAGCCACGGTACCACTGGGCAGCCTACCTTCAGAAATGACACAGGACTAGAGCCCGGGTAGCCTAGTGGCTACTCACTGGGCTGCGAACCATACGGCCAGCAGTTTGAAAGCACCAGGCACTTTGTGGGAGACAGATGGGGCTTTCTACTCCCGTCATGAGAGAAAAGTCTCAGGAACTCAGAGGCAGTTTTACCCTGCCCTGCCCTATAGGGTGGCCATGAGTTGGCATCCACTCGCTAGCATCGAGTTTTCAGTTACATATCAAACTACAGGGTTCGAAGTGTATCATTTCCATTGCCTTCTAATTTGCATCATCTCCTCCCGTTTTCTACTCCCAAACTCACCCATAGCTCATTATGCACCCTCTATGTCGTGAAGCGGGGGAGGGTGATGTTTATCAAAGCACTAGGCTACTCTTGGGAGGGGCAGTGTGGAACAACCCACTGTTCCCTGATGACTTAGTGTTTATTCACATGCTCAGAAGTAGAAAACAGGCTATCAAATCACAGAACAGCACTATCTGCGGAGGTGTTAGTAACAGTTACAGCAGAGCCCTACCTTTTAAAACCCGATCTTATTTGAGACGCCTTAGCGGGGCACATTCAGGCGGCAAGCACAGCATATGTCACGGTGTTCTACTTAATGATCAAAGTCAATAACAGTGATAACAATGAGGGTCTTGGGTGAGACTGGAGAGTGCGAGATCCAATCTGTTTTATAGGGAAAATAAATGGAAACACAAGCAAGGGGAAGAGGGCCAACTGACTTTCCATTGGCGATGGCAGCTTAACCAAGAGCCACAGGCTTGATTTGTGCATTGTGTCCACTAGGTCTTTGCAAGAGAAGGTGCCCGAGTCATAGCTACAGACATCAATGCGGCCAAACTTCAGGAACTGGAGGGTCATCCAGGTAAGCGGCTCGGCAGCTCGGATTGGGATTCGGAATCTGCCATTCACAGGTTGAGAAAAGGGTCCTGTTGTTCACCTCCGCTGGTCTTTGTCCAGTCTTCTCTACTATCAGGTCCATGTGCTGTGAGGGATTCAGGACTTCGTTGCAAAGGTCTGTGTGAATGCTCGGCAGCCGCTCCAGGAGCTGTGTCCACCCATGCGTTGTCCCTTCCCATCCAAGGACTGCACACAGTGGGGCAGTAATGTCGGTCGCCTTTCACGGTTGTTCTCCCAGCATTCCCGGCACTTCCCCGCCCCTGACCACTCTCAACTGCGTTTCACAGGAAAGGGCTCACTCATCATATCATCATACCCCTTCCATTCATTGGTTCTCCTGACCCCTGTTTCCAAGTAATTGTTAACTACTCTGTGTCACAGAGACTCACAGTACTTACCGGTAATATTGTGTTTCTCAGCCAATTTGTTATTTATCTACAAGGTCACCTTGCGCCGGTTTCTGCTAAAGATTTGAAGAGTCTCAGAGAGCCTGCTGGTCTCACTCAAGCTAGTGGCTGTTTTGGTGTTTTAATTTTATTTACTTAGTTTTTTAAAGAAATTTGAAGTCCTGATCCACATTTTCACCCTTTCTATGATTATGACCCTGATTTGATTACCATCAGAATGATTAAAGGGTGCATAATACCATTATCATTAGAATAGCAAAATAGTTCGTAGTAAATGAACCCTGAAAGAATGGAGAAAACATGAACCAAAACTTCAAATTTCTATAAAATCAAAACAAAAAGTTGTCAAGGAATTCACCTTGCCTGCATTCACAGTGTTCACGGAAGAAATCAGTGTTCACGGAAGCAGTCCAGAGATCAAATGATGCCTTGTACCAGGTCATCTGCGGCAAAGATCTCTTTAAATTGTTGAAAAGCTAAGATGTCACTTTGCAGACAAAGGTGCACCTGACCCACGGTATTACAGTCGGCTCATATGCAGGTGAAAGTTGGACGTTAAATAAGGAAGCCCGAGTAGGAACCAATGCACTTGAATTGTGGTGCTGGTGAAGAATATCGACAGGTCCACAGACTGCCCAAAGACCACACGAGCCTGTCTTGGAAGAAACACAACCAGAAAGCTCCCTAGAAACAAGCCTTCGTCTGGTTAGGTTTCCGGGATGGTTCGCCTCGGTTCTCGCTTTGCCATGCTGACAGAATCCACGTGGCAGAAGCACTTCCGTAAAGCCAAGTGAGGGACAGGGGGACGTTGCAGGTATGACCATCTCAGGCAGTACACGCTATCTGCAACGTTGGCGACCGGAAATGGCCGCTTTAGGGGAGCACGAAAAACCACGTGGAAAGTGGCCAGAAAGTGGAGTCTCTGAACTAAAAAAGGACAAAGTTTGGGAGAGAGGGCGAGCCTTGGGAGGGCATGCCAGCGCTGTGCAGTGCAGTGCCCCCGCGAGATCCCACCCTGAGAAGGCAGCACCTGTTCCCAGTCGGTTGTTTAGCCCAATCCCCCATCCTGGCTGGCAGGGCTTGGTTGAGGGTGTTGGCCGGATCAGAGTGGCTGAGTTCAGGCCCATGTGTGTGATGCTGGAGCCTCGTGTGGGTGGGTTAATCTCCACCGGGGCCTAGGTGACCTGGGTCTGAGCATGCTCAGCTTTGGATTGTCCCCACAGGAGTCTAATGCGCCCCTGATTACTTTGCATCCCTTTATTGTGGCATGGCCAGATAATTTTCATTCAGTGTAGACATTCGGTGGAGACAACCCCCTCTATCCCTAATCGTCCTACCTTTCAGACTCATGTACTTTGAACTTGTAATCATGAGAGGCCAGTCCCTGGCAAAGGGCACCATCCACGGTCCAGTGGAGGGGTGGCCTATCAGGAAGATGCTTGACAAGAGGGAGTGACACAGTGGCCGCACTCAAGGGCTCAAATATGACGGTGATTGTGAGGGTGGTGCAGGACCGGGCAGTGTTTGTTCAGTTGTCCTTGGGCCCCTCTGAGTCACATGGCTTGATGGCACGAGCTATTTCATCTGATCTCAAGGGAGAAGAAAAGTAACTAACTTTTCATGATCCTTCAGACCCGGCTGTCACCTCTCCTCCAGGGGGCAGAGCTGCCCAATAGAAATGTGATGTGATGTGAAGAACATGTCATTTTGTTTTCTTAAATAGTCACATTAAACAAAAATCAGCCATTAAAATTCATTTTAATGGGTTTTACTTAATCCAACATATCATGTAATTAATAATTTCAAAATTAATGAAATATTTTATATTATCTTTTTCATACCAAATCTTTGAAACCCATGTGTGCTTTCACAGATATTCACACACACACCCCACCCTGTACCCTCTGTGAGTTGCATTCCTACTCATGATGACCCTATGGGACAGAATAGAACTGCTTTCTATGGACTACACCTAGCAACAATGTGTTAGTCTGGGTAGACTAGAGAAACATATTCAGAGACACTCATATGTGTACAAGGAAGAGCTTTATATACAAGAGCAGTTAAATATTGAGAAAACACCCCAGCCCAGTCCAGATCACGTCCATAAGTCCAATATTAACCCATAAATTCCAATACCAATCTATAAAGTCCTCTTCAGATTCAC